CTATTATTTTGTTAATAAAGAGATAATATGCTTTACTATATTTAAATATGTTAAATAAGATTTTTCCTATTCATATTAATTCTAGTCTCTGTGAATCTATTCAAATAATAGTTTAATTTGTTCATTTGATAGTAAAAAGCATCTTATCTGTTTCCTATATACTCTTCCTGATTTCTTTCTTTATATTTTTACCTTTTTCCTTGTAGCCTTGCTATATATAGATGGTCCTATGGAAGTTATATAGATGGTTCAATAGAAACTATATAGATGGTTCAATATAAGCTGTATCTAGATGAATTTTAGAAGAACGTACAAGCTGTATGTTTATAAATCTGGAAGAACGTTTAGAATACATCAAGAAGTATAGCTCAACCACCGAAAGAAGTTAACGAGATTTCACTTTACCTTTGAAAATTTAACAAGAAGGCCTCTAGTCACTTCTTAATTGTTACCTCAATTCCACAGATAAGTTATAATAAATCATTTAAATTTGAATAATTAGGTCTCTGTGAATTAGAATTTGTCGCTACCTTATTTAATTATAATATCATAAAGGTTAGTGATTTTCTATATTTTCATCATTAATCGCTTGTCAAGTTTAGAAAGTTTAAATATAGTGGCGTCCAACATTCTTTTTCAAAGTGATACGAGTTGTTTAATAACCTGACCCACTCCCCAAAATCATAGAGCTTAAAACACTATAAAAATAGATAAAATATTAAGATCATATTACAGAATGGCGCCTCAACTGGGTTAAACAGCTCATTACTTTGAAATAGATTCCTTATAACTTATCGTTCTAATTCACATAGGTATTTCACAGAGATTAACTATACTAACTGCATGACTTCTTTAGACATGACAGCGACAATTGTGTTTTCCCTGAAAATTACAATCCTAATTCATTGTGAACCTAGCTTTTAAACCTAAATTACTTATATTTTTACCTACCTTTTAAACCATGTTTATGTATGAAAGGAAGAAAGATGGGTATAAACCATTTGCAGAGATAGTCAATAATAATTATAAACTCTTGTTAGACAATTATTTTAAACCATAATCATAGTAGTTTTTTGTCGTTTCTATGGCAACCTGTAAAAATAAATCACAATAGGCATACAAATAAATATTTAAATCAGCAAACATTGATTCATATTTTTAATGATTTTTATCTACTAATCGTGGATAGATGTTTTTGTGCGATGTTAAGAGGAAGAAAATGTTTCCCTTTAACGATATATATCAAGATATATTTGATTGTTATTTTCTGGAAAACTTTAAGGGCAAACAAAATTAGCGCTGTCATGCCTTATGTGATTTTTCAAAATAAAATAATTTTTTAAGCAACTTTGCTCAGGATCGGGATTGGCACAGATGCCGTTTGGTAAAGTACAATGTTTTTCCATGCTTTTGGGGTATATTTCGTTTCGTTATCAGATAACGGTAAAAATTTGCAGTGGGCTCTTGGGCTATTAGGTCAATGTACGCATTATGGATACAAAATTGATTTGGTCCAGCATCGAAAAGGTTCTATTGTGAGTTTACGGTACGCTCGTCAAAATGCTGACATGGTTCTAGTTTCTTTTAATTATCTCTCTTATTATTTAAGATAAAATTAGGATTTGACAATCGTTAGAATCCTTAAGTTTTTATGTAGTAATAAACGAAAATACATTTTTACGAATTTTTGCACAGTTTTTATGATATCGGCGTATATAACAAAATCGATAATATAGGCAGTTTTTTAAACGTATCAGAGATAAATTATTTATATAATTTTGTGCCATTTACGACCACACACATTTGAAATTTAGTAACTAACAGGATACAGAGAAAATTTTAATTTTTTATTATTTTTCTAAGAATAATTTTTTCTTTAGAAACATATATTAAACTTTCTTTTGGAGAATAACTCGCTTTTCCAGGACGATTTTTAGACAACCTATGCCATTTAAATCTAGAAATAAAAAACTACTATTTCGACAGCTCACACAATAATTAATTAATTAATTAACCCTCCGCCGCTTAACAATATTTGCGTGACAACTAGAATAATAGATACCTCTGTGTGTGTATACTTAGCAACAACGTATATTGTTTCGTCTCTGTAATTTCTATATCAAGTTTTGCCTTCTTTTGATTTACGTATCAACTTTAATTAGCAATATATGTATTTTTTTTTTTTTTGGAGAATGGGCATATAAACGTAGTTTTTGTTGCCACAGACTTTTGTAAATCGAATAATTTTTTGTTGTTTATTTATATTTTAATATTTTCTTTAATTAAAAATTCAATAATTAAGTTATATATTTTCTTATTAAATGAATTTAATAAAATAGAAATACTTCATGGAAAAAGGATATTCAGGGAAGAAAGTTTTTTAAGAAAATCTGAACGATGAGAATTATGGTGGCTACAAGAAAAAATTAGATGGTTGATATCAGCAAAAGAAGAATTATCGCATTGACAGAAAGGTGATATATTAATATTAATTCTGGAAAGGTGAGACGGAAAACCCCCATGATTTAGTTTCATCCTTGTTAAAGTGGTACAATAATACCTAGACATTTTAAAATTTGTAATGTGGGGAATAGATTTTGGAAAAACAGGGTCAATAAATGTATATGGGTTATTTGTAGTTACAGAAAACTATAATGTTTAGTACTAGTTTTCAAAAATTTTTGTGCTATCGTAACTCCATCTTGCGTTAGCGAAACGTAACTTTTGTAGGGTAATATAAATCTTAAGGAACTTTTATAAAGCACGACATTGGGTCACAAGGTCAACTAACTGTTCTTGGTGATGTGGAAGGTAAGTTCATGACGCAGGCCTGTTTACCCAATCCAGCGGTACATTATTGCGAAAATAAACCACTGTTGATAAGATAACCTCTGGCCGAGCATAGTATATCAGATGGCTTTGCAGAATTGTCACACCCAGAAAAGAGATAAGACTCTAGAAATGGGAGAAAAATAACTGTATTATTGATATACCGTTCTGCGGTTGACAACACACCGACACGTAACACCGATTAGATATGTAGATGAAAGAAAAATAAAGGTATCACATATAAAAAAAAATATTAAAAATTTAAAATCCCCATGAACTATGTTTTTTCTACACCCACATGGATATTACCTTATCTACGCACTGACTACAAATAAAAAAGTATGTCATTACGTTCAACTTAACGAATATATTTCATATCCATTCTAGGTAGTGAGAATACTGCAAAAAAATGAAATCCACCAATCACAGTTCATATTTTAGACACCCAACTACTATTATTTTTGAAAATTTAAATAAGTGACAATCCTGTCAAACTTATTGTCAGTATATTTTTTTTTTTAGTTATTGAGATTAAATATACATTCAAATTAGTCATTTTTGTATAAAATCGATAAATAATTGTATTTTTATTTTTATATGGACCATATTTAAAAAAACTAAATTAAATTTTAATCAAACTATATGTAGTAACTATTGTAATTACGAGTATATAAACCAAGATCGCATAACTGACCGTAGACGCGTCGCAGAGTGCTTGCCTTCCACGCGAAAAGCCGGAGATCGATTCTCGGCTAGTCACTCTAATTTTTTTCTTTTCATTTTTATTTTATTTCAAAAACCAGCAAAATTTTAAAATTAGTTATTTTCTCTTAATAACCTGAAATATTTTTTTTAATTTTTAGATTTTTGTTAGTGGGTAGTAGATAAAATATACTGTACAACTGAAGCGAAGATCCTCCCATCGAAAAAGAAATACTGAGCGCAGCGTCATCTGCATATTGACCTATTTAAAATTAATTTTTATCTAAAACTGAAGCTCTCTTAGCGCTCTATAAACTGACTTTTACAGAATTTAAATATCTCTATTATTTACCAAAATATCCGACCTGGAAGTTTTTATTGATACACCCTGTATATGTTTCATCTGGCTTGTATGTTAGTCAAAAACATACACTGGGTAGTTTGTTAGTTATGATATTTAAAAGAAATAATCAAAATGGATAAAACCCAGTATCTCAGTTATATAGATTATAATATCCATTTAATATGGTGTGTTTAGAAGGACCTCTATCTACCATTAAAATATATTCCTTCAACTCTAAGACACCCACCCTGTAAGCTCTTAGTTTACTTTCACCATGAAAACAAAGTTTGCATGAACTTCTCGTAAAATATAAAGATATATTGTTGAAAACATCGTGATATATCGAAACAGGTAACACAAAGTTATGGGATGTTGCCTTTAGAAAAGTTGATAATAAGGGAGCAAATTGTATTTTGCCTGATAATAATATATAAGAACTTACAGGAAACTTTCTCCGATTCTATCAGCGCATAGTAATATTCAATAAAAGTTTTATGCGTTAGGTATACGAATAGTTGGGAGCACGTAAATTATCGACTCTTGTTTCGTGCCAGAGATAACAGGAGATGTAACTACTAACAAATATCGTGCGATCCTAAATAAGACATATTCTAAGGAGTACAGGAGGGTGTAATATCCGCTGTAATATGTCTATTTCATTATTCTCGTTTTCTTTTAAAAAATTATTTCATATATTAAAAAAGCTTAAATAATTTCAAACTATTTTATTGCAACTGAATCCAAAAATTTTTGAATCAAATTAAATATTATGTGATCCAGTTACGAAGAAAAATGGACGAAGTGCATGAGTTAGTTCACTCTCGCATCTTCAACTCGCCACCGACAAAATGAAGAAGCGATGCGACAACCAAGTCACAGAAGGATGTTTCAAGAAGGGCGACAAAGTCTGGCTCCATAACCCAAAAAGTCAAAAAGTGATTCTCCATAGCTTTAGAGGTCTTGAAAAGGACCGTATCTCTTTAAGAAAAAAATCAATGTATATGTAAGATCCTGAACGAAAAATAGAAGGTAGTGCACCAAAACCGCTGGCGCCATTTGAGGGTGACCATGACGAATAAGAAGTAAATCAATTCCAAGAAACACCTGACTTGTCTTTGAAGAATTTATGGGTGCATATGGAGGTACCGGAAAAGCAAGAAATGGCGTTACAACCGAGCAACAACAAGACCTGCTTGCGGTTTCTAAAGAATACCAATTGGTCCATAGCACTTCCGCCAACATCAAAGACGCTCGAGGTCTGGCATCTGTGTTCCGGAAGACGTTTGGACGATTGCCAGAACTTCAAGATCAGTTACCAGCCCTTGGAAGCATTGAAACTTTAAGATTAATTGCGTTATCTTTTCTATTTGGTAACAAAGAACACCTTGTGACAGGCTTTTGGTTCACCTACAGTGAATCAGGGAGTCTGTGTTGCGCTAAGATGGTGATTTTAGAAAAGGGGTTTCTCAGATGCCAGTTTTGGTAACACAGTTTTCTCTGCGACCCTGTAGTATACCAGAGTGTACTCAAGATAAACTCAGTGACGTTAAAAATATTTCCAGGCGGTCAATGCTAACTAGGTAGCCACTAAACTAGAATTAAAAATACATCTCCTTTACACCTCGTACCTTACGGGTACCCTGAAAGAAAACGGTTAAGAACCAGCAATAAGAGAAATACAGGAGTAGATAAGAAAATATATTTACAAAAAAATACAACTAGTAGTGCACGGTATCGGCACGCTTATAAACGGAAAATAAACAAGTAATAGAAATTAAAAATTTCAAAGAACCGACTTCAAAAACGTGCAGATGCCATCATCACATCTTAACCAAATTTATATGGGAGAAAAAGAATCATATAAATCGGACAAGGTGATAAAGCATTATCGCTGAACATACATAAAAAAATAAGAGTTTGAGGATTTTCTCATGGACCCAATATATATAAAAAAAAAAAAATATCGCGAAGAATTGATAACCTTCTCCTTTTTTGAACTGGTAGATACAGGAAAATAATTATGTTTTCCCCTGTATACGAAAAATTAATAAAAATAAATTAATAAATTATTACAATTGAAAGCTAAATAAAATAATTATGGTTCCCTCTGTATACGGAAAATTAATAAAAATAAATTATTACAAATAAAAAACTACAGGGAAATAATTGCGGTTTGATAGCACAGGAGGCTAATCGGTCCGGAAATTATGAAGCTCTCTGTATACAGAAAATTAATTTTTAGTAATAAAAATTGATTAAATATGACGGTAACAGAATGTAAGAAAACAATTGAAATAAAAGTTATATGGAAAATAAATTTTAAATAAACTTAATAATAAATAAAACTAAAATCTCCACTAAATGAAATTAAAGTAACCTTTCACTAATACTGGAAAATTATGTACAATACGGTATATAGAAAGTATATTTTCCCAATAAACACAATTAAATTATATTTTCTGGTCAAAATAAAAAAAAAACGGTAATTAATTAGAACGGAGTAATAAATGTTTAACTATACGGTTGACAAACTCAGAAGTTAAGAAAAATAAAAGAAAATGGGTACTTACGATACTCTCTATATTAAAAAAATAAAGTTTACTATAACTAAAGTCAAATAATATACAGGGTAGATGTTAAAGATGGAACCAAACCTATAGTGCTTAAATGGTTCAACATACAAAACCCAAAATTTCAGAATTTCAACTAAATATATTTGCGCATATTTTGGCCCAAAAATATTTTTTTTATAATTACAAAACTTTAAGCATGGCCGCCATCTTGATTTTTTTAAATAGCAACATAGGTCATGTGATATTCCATTTGAAAGGGTTTAACACCCTGATTACAAAAATGTATCACACATGGGGTCTAAACACAACAGAAAGGATATTATAAATGTTTTTGTAAACTTAAGCCATTTTATTGAAGCAATATAATTTAATGTGAATCCTATTACATGTATTTTACATTTTTATGAAAACGATAATTTATAAATAAAATAAATTATTAATTAAAATAAACATTACCTAACTTTTTAACGAAGAAATTGTTTAAATTTAATATTTGACGTCTTGTGTCAAATGCACAGCCTCCTACGCTTCCTATTTATAATATCCTTTCTGTTGTGTTCAGACCCCGTGTGTGATACATTTCTGTAATCAGAGTGTTAAACCTTTTCAAATGGTATATCACATGACCTATGTTGCTATTTAAAAAAATCAAGATGGCGGCCATGCTAAACATTTTGTAATTATAAAAAAAATAAATTTTGGGTTAAAATATGCGCAAATATATTTAGTTGAAATTCTGAAATTTTGGATTTTGTATGTTGAACCGTTTAAGCACTATAGGTTTGGTTCCATCTTTAACAGCTACCCTGTATAATGTAAGTACAGTACAGGCAAACACTACTATAAATTTAAATAAAGCTTTCGGCACCCCTGTATTCGAGTTCTGACCGATCATCGGTAACGGTTCGACATCGAAAAAGAATAACAATAGACTATTAATTATTTTGCGATTTTCCAGAACCGATCAAAGCAGTGTATAAATTGGAAAAGATATTAAACGTCGGGCTTCGTTCAAAAATTAGTTGGTGACGTAAAATTAAATAAATAAAATAAAAAAAAGAATTTTACACGAAGTGAGGCGCGAAAATTAATTTTAAGGAAATTAGATAACGTCATCGAGACAGAGAGCACTCTTGACTCGAGGACCGATCGAACCTCCGAAGAAGAAAATAATTTGGGCAGCTTACCAAAGATAATAAAAAAATGAAAACGGGTTGAACCTCTCGATCCAGTGTTAACTGGGGTTTTTTAAAAGAGATTGGGTAGAGTAGTCTAAATTGAGAGCACTCACAGTCTAGCCTATATTCAGCCTCAAATAAAAATTGCCTACGGTTTCCCACTAAGGGATGAAAATACTGAATATAAATCCAAATTCTTTCACTTATTGAACGGGTGTTTCAAACTAATTGTAAAATGATTATCAGTTTCCAACCTTAAAAAAAAAACGGAAATAGTTCACCACCACTACATCCGAATGTTTACTATTTCAAAATAAAAAAAGGTCCTACTAGTACCTTGACAATTACAAGTAGATAATTGATACGAAATTAAATCGAAAAATGCTCATTCGGATTTCGGCAAATATAGAAATATTTTAACCTACGAGGGGATCCTGGGAAACACAAATACGGGGATCTTCTACATGTCCTCAGGCGAGAATTAATTAAAATATGCATTTTTAAAATTAATTAAAAGTAAAATATAGTGACTTCGTCACACCCTTCCGAGATTAATTCCCTTATCATGATGTATGGGAAGCATTACTTATTCTGAGGTAGCCACCTGCTGGAGTCCAATGTACAGAAACTAGCTATGCCCTAGATAGAGAGCAACCAGCTAAATTGTAGGATCATTAGAAACATGCTGGAAGTAATCTTTCAATATTCAAGAGTCCAAATACTGGTCTGAAGCCATTCGCCTAGCTTGCAGGTTTCACCAAAAACCATCCCTTGGGTAAAACCTCCAATTGTTGTCACTGCACCAGTTATTGGCACTCTCGTCTGTTTTGTACATTTATCCCGTATTAGACTTAATATTTCGAGAAAGGTAGAAAAGGCCACGAAATATGACAACCCTGCATGTACATATCTCCGTTATTTAGTTGATCTGTCTTTTAAAATGGCTGAGGTATTACCAGGTGTGTGTAGTGCTCCCGAGAAAAGTGCATAAAATTAGGAAATTGCTAAGCAGCGGTCTTTCAGAAACAGTAAGTATTTATGTAAAATAGTTAGCTTCTATTTGTTGAATGTTTTTTGATTTGATATTTACTGTTAATTGAGTTAATTTGAAGCCAAATTGTAACGGTTTACCTAAATTTGATGAAAATATGAGGGGTGCCAATGACTGGGTCTAAATAATCCTAAATTCTAGTAATTGGCACGGGGGGCCAATAACTGGTATTGACTCACCCCAGTAGTTGGCATGCCCCATATTTTAAGATAAAAAGATTTTTAGTATTTGTAATGCTTCAATATTTTATTTTATATTTACATATGGTGAAAATTAAAAAAGAAAAAAACAACAAAGAAGGTATTCTGAAGAATCTGTACAGAAAGATTTGCATGAAATAAAAAATAACGCACAGAAAAAGGCAACTGCTCTAAAATATGGTGTTCCTCGAGCTACTCTTCAATTTAGACTTAGCGAAAAATTTCGAAAAACCGAAAAAGGGCCATGTTCAATTCTGACAAAAGAGGAAGAGCAATCACTAGTTAACTGGATATTAGAAAGTCATAGCAAAGGTTTTCCTCGAAGAAAAGAGAAAATTTTCAGAAGAAGAAATTGAAGACGCCTTTAATTTTTGATAATAAGCCTTTATATGTAAAATCAGAATCTCCAAAAACGTTACCCTATAATGACAAATTAATTACTCATAAATATATTAAAATTTTGAAACCTAAAACTATTATTGTTGAAGAAAAAGCAGAAGGTATTAAAATAAAGTTACACCTGTGATGGAATCTATTTTTTTTTATTTTAGGTATAACTAAAACTGTGACTAGTCCAAAACTTAGAATTCTAGACTCAGGAGGTAAATTTGATGTTAATAAAGAAGACTCATGCATTGGTATAATTTTGTATCCTATTTTTAATTTCCATTAACAAACAATTTTTTAGATGAAGACCATCCCAAAGAGGACATTTTGGAACAAAATGATCAATATATTTTTAAAAATTCTTAAGGTAATGCAAGTATTATTTTTAAATTTTTAATTAGTTTCGGTTCGTAGGCCATGATTCCAAGAATAATGACAATGATATGAATCAAAATTATTTTATGTTAGACAATTTGGACCAAAATACAGATAAAAATTTGGAAAATATTCCAGGTATTTTATTGTCATTATCTTAATTGTACTTTCTGAGGAATGTTACGTTTATTTTAGAAAGTATGAGTAGTAAGCAAACGGTGAAATCTGGCCTTAATAGTTGTGGGTCAAAAATAATAGAAGAAGCAAGAGCATTACATTTAGAAGATTTCCTTCCAAAAGCGAAAACGCTTGAAAGGAAAAACAAAATCAAATAAAAAGAACGTCTTCCGTTATCTCTTCTAGCGCTTACAAAAAAGAAATGGAAGAAAAGAAAAAAGAAAGAAGCACTAGAACATCAAAAAGAAGAAAACAGACAAAAGAGATTAAAGCAGAAATTGGAGAAACAAGCTAAGCCTAAACAAACAAAAAAAAGTAAAGTAGGTGAAAAACAGCCTGAACAAGGAAAAAAAGTAAAACTGCCGACACTGATTGTATAGATGCCCCTGCTGAAGCAAGTAAAACTGCCGATACTGTTTGTGTAGATGCTCCTGCTGAAACAAGTAAAACTGCTGACACTAAGCTTGTAGATGCCCCTGCTGAAGTAAGTAAAATTGCAAAAAACCATCCTAATTCAGAAAAAATTTATAAAACCGAAACTATCGATGAAGTAAAAAATAATGTCATAAAAAGAACTGGTTTATGTTTTTCATGTGTGGCAAATATAACTTTAAATAAAATTGGAATAAAATGCCAAGAATGTAACAGAGTATATCACATGGTCTGCTTGAAGAAACGTGGAGTATTCAAGGATTTTTATAGATGTGGTGTTTGTACCGTCAAACTAAGTTTGCGTTCGTAAAATGTTTTAATATTGGAAATGCTCTTTGAAATGTTTTGAAATGAGTAAATTTAAAGAAACGTCCTTTTTTTTTCTGTATTTTATTTGATTGAAAGGCTTATAAACATTATAAAAAACGCCTATAAAACAGCTACAATCACCATTTACCATTTTAATTCTTTAGTGCCAATAATTAAGTATATTCAGTATACCAAGTACTAGGTTTTTAGTGCCACTAACTGTTTTTTTTTTAAACTTCAATATAACGTTCTTATTTGTTAAAATTGGGCGAATTTTATTGCTACTACTATCAAACTATATGCTATAAATATTAACAAATAATACTAAATAGATTTTAAAAACAAATGGCTGACATTTTTTGAAATTTTTTATTATTTTAAGGAACATGTTCTTAAGGTGCCAATAACTGGTGGTTTTACCCTACAATAAAAACACAAAACAAATGTTTGGGTATTAACTTGGAAAGTTATATATTTTAAATAAATACAAAAAATAGGTACCTATAATTAATATCGCTATTGCTATATTACTACAAAGAGAAGAGTTCTTTGTAAACAGAATATCCATGGTTGGTCCAAAAACATTCTTTTTCGAGGCATTCTAGCTTCAATTCAATAGGAAACAAAGAAGTATTTTCATCTCCATGTGTCACAAAGAAAGATCTGTTTTTCAGATAGAAGAGATGCAGAAGAGATGATGTAAGTTGGACTTTATTTTGCTAATTAGACCTTCATATCGTACTTTAACAGGAGAAGACTAGATAAGCCGCTGAATGAACAATTAGTAATACCTTTTCAAAAAAACACTACTAACCCACATTTTTATTCAAATTCCATTCTAAAACACCCTCTATATTTTTTAACATGGTGCCGGATAAAATTTTGTTAATTAAAAAAGTTAGTATACTCGACACAAAGACTTTTTGTGTTAAACATTTTTTATGCGTGACTAAAACCACTGGCGATTTTCCCAGACTGCTACCGCTGCCAAGCTTTTAGCTTTTTATCACAAATACATTTGTGTAAAACTTTATTTGGCAGAAGGAGGCGTTAATGCGTAAAATAATTGTAAATTTTAGTTAACGGATCAAGGGTATATGGACCTATTGACACCTCGTTTTCCAGATTTCTTTATAATTTTGTTCTTTGACAATAATACACAATAATAGAGATGTTATAGCCCATGTGGATTTATTTTACATGCAAATACATTTACCAATTATTTTGTTAAATTTTGACGTTTTCTATTAATTTTTGCAATATTAAATAAGAGTATATTACGTAAGAAGAGTTGTAAGTAACCCATTACGCACGAAGTGAAAAAGTTTATGCACGAAACCGCGCAGCGGCGAGTGTGTAAATTTCTCGAGTGCGTAATGGGTTTACAACTCGTGTAACGTACTATACTTTTTCTACGCCCACTTATTTTTTTCTATTAAATAAAGGACATATGCTTGTGTTGCCAATCCACAAATTTTTCGGTAAGAAAGGTAATTTCGTACCTTTCTTTAGATTTTAGCGGTAACAAATTATGTGTGGCATCTTGAGTTTTTTCTAAAATCTCCGATAGAGTGCTCATAATGTCATCACTATCACTACTAACAGACATATTCGTAGGTAAAGTTGAGAAAATGTTCGAATACAATAATATTTTGTTACAAAAATTGACAATATAAACGAAACGACGTTTATTTCCATAGCATGCTAAGAAAACGCGAGTTAGTTTTTAAAAATTTTATAATGTGTTGCCAAAATTTAGGGGCATCACTTTTTTAATCCAAAATGTATCTAGCTTATGCTAAAAGTTTTTATGTTTTTAAATTGACTAAATTTATGTAAATAAACCAAATAAAGTCATACGTAGATAAAAATTTGATTAAACTAATAAATTTAAGTTTTATTATCAAAACGCTTGTGTATGTTATGAGATCTCATTACGTGCATGTTGTTGTTAAATGTCATTTACAAGGAATGTTGACAGTGCGATTTTTAACGTTTACTGACATGGGCGTAGAAAAAATATAGCAAGCTAGTATTACGACTGACCCATCTATTAGGAGTTTACAATTCGATTATGTATTGGAATAGATACGTCTTGTTTACATAAACAATTGTCGTATGATAATAAGGTCCATAATCGCATTGGCGTATATAAGGGGTTGGCCCGGGGGGCTTTTTTGCTTGTTTTTTGTGCCCAGTGCATAATGAATATGATAATATGCAGCCGCTTGACTGGAAATGACTATAAACGCGTCCTATTCGTAGTTTAACCAACGCCAACACTGACTTTTTTCTTTTTAGTGTAACGTAATTTTTTTTAGTAGATATATACTAATATATAATTAAATCAAAATTTTTATTTTCGTATGCCCCCCCCAAAGTAATTCCTATATACGCCACTGATCGCATGCATAATAAACGGTTGTTTCTGCAGAGGTTGCCACAGTGTCTCTTTCGGTTAAACGTATAAGGATAATAATGGTTAGTTCCCAATGTTTCAAGGTTCAAAATACTTAATACGGAGCTTAATATTTAAAAGTTCATTTAAGAATCTGGATCAAATTCATAAAATTTCTCATTTAATTTTGTTCTGCATTGAATCGGTCTTTAAATTAGATGTTTTTAGATTTTGTTCAACACGATTCATCGGTTTAACCATTAAATACTATATTTTAACTGAACATTTAACAACTCTGTTTGTATTCGCTGTGTGCAAGACTGGTAGCGCTCTCTGGTGACGGGATAGCGACAGTTCTCCTCATTCATTCCCGCATACTTGCTATACACCTCACACTCAACAGTTGAACTTGAAAATTCTTTTTCAACAATTAAGTGTTGCAACAAGTTTTGTGTTCGCTGTTAGTTGATAGACTAACAAAAATTGTTTCTGTCGCACAAAAAGTAAGTAAATAACATAAAAATATTTGGAGGTTATGCATACGAAGTATCTGCGTTTTGAATGTCATAAATCAATGTAATTTGTCTGTATTTTTAGATGCTACATTTTTGTTATGGGTGTCATCTTGTACACTGGATTTGAGAAAATATCTCATGACATGAACTTTCAGCCTGAAACGCCAAGAAAAGGTAAAGTTTTGGTAGAAGCAGGGCATGTTATAAATGTCGAAGAGCACAGAGAATCAGGTGTTGGCCTTTTTATCCGAGCTGGTGTCATTAGACAAACGTCTGTCACGAAAAAAGAATATCTTGTAGAATTGCATGTAAGATAAAAATTGTGTTGAAATCCATTTATTATTGACAATAATAAAAATAATCGCTACTACGATGATGTGGACAATCGCCGACTCCTGCCACCATAGGCGCTGCGATAGCTCAATCTATCCCCTCCAAGCCAAATGCACACTGCGAATATGTTTTTAAAAGTGTCATTCGTTGTTTTATTTAAGTGGAATATTCTTGTTTGATTTATTTATATAAAAGAAATTATTTACAAACGTGATTAGACATTTCAAAATAGTAAAGAGATGCTAGTTTTCCGAAAATTTTGGACCAAAATCATTGCTCGCTCTTTTCACAGGTAGGTTATGTCAAAATCAATCTCATGAAACGTAAATAATGTAGATATCCATCGGCATAACAAGTATGCTAGGGTTTTATTTATTTTTTGATAAAAATACCTAATTGTAGAAACTGATAATTTTATGGTATATACATTTACAGGTTTCCGAGAGACATTATCCAACGTCAGTTATTATAGCTGAACAACTTGAAAATAAATAAGGAAGATCTGAAAACTAAAAGATGCTAAAGTTTGTTCAGATCACTTTTCACCTGAAGATTTATTTAGTTGTAATAATATATTTTATTTAAAATCCAATGTTTTGCCAATAGAGTAATTAAACAAATGCTTTTATATACATACTTTCGTATTTTTTTTTTGGCTTTGGATATTGATCCTTTAGCCACACACAACATTTAAATATTTAATTATAGTATATTATGCAACGATCATGTAATGATGGTTATTAATACACGAGCATTAACCAGGATACGAAACGAGCCAAAGGCAAGTTTCGTATGGTTTATGCGAGTGTTTTAATAACCATTACATGAGAGTTGCATACGCTAGTTTTTCTACACCCGATAAATAATCAAGACCTATAAATATTATATTTATATTGGTATTGGTATTGAACACAATAACAGTAATTACTCGTATTTCTATAAAAAATTCTACAAAATTGTAATTAATGGTATTACTTCAGGTATTGGTATGTCCCTAGATTTTTGCGGTAAAATATTTTGTACTGTATTTTCTGCTTTCTCCGATATGTGTGGAGGAGTCTTCTATATCGCTAATATCAGACATTTTAATATTATAATTATCGAAGTTTAGCTACCTACGAAAATTTAATACGTTTTGACAACTAAAATAATTACATAGGAACCTAGGACAAACGTCAAACAGCATGCTTGATTGAAAAATTGTAGGTTTCTATTAGGCATTCCAAACAAATGAATTACCAGTGGGCAGGTTTGGTATATCTAAGGGTGGCGACATATGGTGTATTTTATCTACTTTACGTAAAATCATAAATAATGGATTACATTTAAATATTTTATGTCAAACACAATAAAAATAATATTTAAAAAACCCACCTATACATTTTTTCATAAATTGGCAGGCTTGGCGAGTACTACTTCGAATAAAAATAGTGTCCAAGTTGCAAGACTATGTCGCTACCCCCCTTAAATATACAAGAATTTCCCACTGGTACCTACTGTTTGACAGGTCGTTGGAATGCCTAATTGATTAAAAATCTGTATCGTAATGAAAAATCTGTATCATAATGGGTATCATTATGAAACGGATTATGGGCATATAAGTGCATTATTATAATACGGGTGTAGAAAAAATAATTATCCTAATTAAATGGAAATTTTATTTAATTAAGATAAATTCTACTATTAAGTTGTAAATTTCTTTATTCTCCGTTGCCAGTAAAACTTGAATGTTGGTGGGAAATTGTAAATTTAACT